TAAATTCAGATCAATTTTAAAGGGTTTTCTTTCCAAGGATTCGAGTAATTTTAAGATTGACGTTGAATAAACAAACATGTGATGGAGATCTAATGGAAATCAGGGTATAATATGTAGTTGTTTCTCCTCCGTTTGTACGCACCACCTCACTAGGGATAGAACATTGAAACGTAAGGTTATAAGGCGAAGCCGTAAATATTAATAATATATTATTGTTTCCTTTAGTTCCTAGAGAAACCTAGGACTTCAGTCGCTCGTGACCATTGCGTTTGGCTCTCCACCAACGTTTTCATATGGCTCCACGTCCGCCAACATGATTTCGTCTCCTGTTCACATCACCTCCTCCATTCGATGTCACCCTCTCGCTTACGACCAACTCGTCGCTTCCCAATCGGGTTCCTCTCAAGCGACAGCCTGGCGTGTGGTGTCACTCACTTGATGGTTTGTCTTCTCAGAGTATTGCCTACAATTCACCCTGCTCCATTTCCCCCTGCATATTTGTTGCACAGTTGGTTCCTGCTGGGTTGGGTCGTTGGTTCATTGTCGGAGATCCGCCCCCCCCCGGTTGCGGATCCTTTCTGGCCTGCCATCTGATCTTGACTACTGGGCAAACACAGCTGTTGATAAAAGTGTTTAGTTTGTTCAAAGTGGCCTTCGTGACCTGGCGCGGAGTGGCGCCAAGTCTCCGATCCGTATAGGTAAGTAGCAGTGACTGACTTCACATTGGAGTTGAAGATGCAGATTTTAGTTTTCATGCTGAGTGGTGCTCTTGATCTCCACACACAAGTGAACGAAACTGAAGCTTGAGTTCCTTTCCCAATCCTTGCTTTGATATCCTCATCAGTTTTGTCCACGTGTAGTTGAAACGATGCTTCCCAGGTTGATAGGGAGGTAGATTCAGGAGGTTGCTTCTTCCAGATTTTTCCAACTTATGTTGATTGTTGTCTGTTGTTGTTGGTGGTGCCGTCGCTGTTGGCCAGGAATCTTCATGACCTCTGTATTCTCTATGTCCACCTGAAGTCCTATCTTCTTTGGATGCTTCTTTTGCCAACTTGTTATTTGTCACTCGCATATCTTCCAGTTTGTGGAAAATCAAACTTATATCATCCGCGAGATCCACATCCTCCTAGTATTTTGTGTGAGTCCTTTTTATGCCTATTTCGCCGTTGCCTGCTGTCTGTCACACTCTCCAGTCTACCACAATCAGGAAAATCATTGGACATAGTAGGCGGCCAGCTTGTCTTATTCTTATCTTCACTTCGAAGGATTCCATGAGTTTCCCATCATGGATTATTTGGCACGCAGCGTGGTCGTATAACTGTTGGATGACATATATGATTGTTAGCGGCATCTCATAGTAACGAATTAGTTTCCAAATCACCTCCTCTCCTTACTTTTGCGTCGAGTAGCTGCGTCTCCACTTCCTTGAGAGGCAGTAAGATGAAACCGAGTTGGCTTTTAGTTCCCTCGTCCGGTGACACCCATGTAGTAAATATATCTCACTGAAATAATTTCCTGCAGTGCAGCATAGAGAATTCGATACATAAGCTCAGGTATTAGACTGGAAAGAACAAGCTAGAAGTGACTCTAACAGACAGCGAATCAGAACGAAAAAAACCTTCCTTGTACCCAACAAATAAGCAGAATGAAGTGGAGGTAGATTGGATATACACTAAGAAGACTATTGAGGGAAATCACATGTCAGACACGTGACAGATTCACCATGTGTCTGAGTGTGATATGGAGCAGATCATGCGATGAAAAGGAAATAAATACTCATAAACATTCGTGGAGCCACTTGAAAGTGACGTCAGATAACCATGTAGAATAGAGATGTGTCGCTTAATCTCTATATTCCACCCGAAACATGTGGAATAAAGAATGGAAAATGAAATATTGCTGGTCACACTTCGTAATTACTAAGCAATACCTTCGTTATGATTTGCATTTTACTGTTTAACTTTTATTCGGCAGTACGCACCCACCTCAGGGGGTTTGAACTCAGGACCTTCCGAATACATGGCGAGCTCGCATACCATTCAACCACTGGGATCCGATTCAATGGCTAGTGCATGAATTCTAACCTACCAATTCGTGATTTTAGCGTGGCGATCAAGGAGGTGGTGTAGTCATCTACCTCAAGAAATGCTTAAGCATATAAATGAGCTATGGAGGAAAAATTGTGTGGCTTCATAAAATGATCATTGGGCATTATCGTTTTAATCGAATTACACAGTTATGCATAAATTCAATTCACCACGTCTAAGTCATTTTTCTCTCTACTGAATATATTTTTATTCGATTATCTAAATTCAATCTACATATAAGATTGTTTATATGAAGTAATGCATGAGGCTTGGTCTGGAAATCTGAAGTTCCGAGATCTGATTCACAATAACATAGTGAGCGTTGTCTGATGAAGAGTCCCAAACTAGGACGAAACAAACTTCCAGTGATCCTTGATTTTAGAATGATTCTCTATCAGGATACACTGAAATTAATCCGAATCCCTACAAAAACCTAAGATCAAAATGTCAGTCCCCAGAACATTGGTGACTCCTAGGTAGATGTCCTGAAATTGTATTTAGAAATAGTGACCAATGAGTTACACCATCTAAGACTCTGATAGTCGATGGTTGTATATTACCAGATGATAGATAAATATAATTCACTGGTCACTAAATCTTAGCCCAGGTGGCTTAATGGTCAACGCGTCTGGCTTCGTGACGTGAAGATAGTGGGCTCCATCCCTGGTGGGGTCATGGATACTCGCTGGTGAAGTGTCCTAAACTGGGATGAAATAACTGGCCAGTGTCTCCTGGTTTCCAGTAATTCTCTAAGATTTGGTTTAGTTGATCAAGTCTCACTAAAATAATAAAAATACTTCTTTCACATTCCTTTTCTAATCGTAGAGACTATTACTGACGCTGACACACTGAATATTGCACAGTTAGTAATCATAAGGTAGGAACATATGTCATCTACTGTGTTATATACTTGTGGATTAGAAAAACAAACAACTAAAAACATGTACGATAAACATTGTCCGTGAATTAATCCCGCCATTTTTTTTTAGTTAACAAATCAGTTTTTCAAGTATTGGTTTTGTAGGGATTTTGTTTGTATGATTGGATGGAGGATTTACAAACTAGGCTGACGAAACACCTGTCTGCCAGTACTCCCTGCCTGCTGGTTTTCCAGTAGTTCTCTAAATGATGTCAGCTAATAATGAAATCCTCCATCCAACAAAAAAAATCAATACTTGAAAATTAATCTGATGCACACTTGTGACTGGCCCTATTTTAGGCAGCCAACCTGGGGTTCTGGTGGGAAGTCGTAAACAGTACGGTGTAGCAGATTGAAGATAAGACAGTAACTCATCGAAGAAGACATTGAGAAATGGTCGAGCTATGTCGTGAACTGGCAGAAGTTAGAATTCATGGACTGGCTGGCCGTTGGATAGGGTCCTAGTGGCTTAATGGTCTACGAGCTCGCTCACCTTGAAACCAGAAGGTCGTGGATTCGAACCCCCTGCGGTGAATGGGTACTGCTGACGAGTCCTAAACTAGGCCGACGAAACATCTGTCCAGTACTCCTTGATGGTTTTCCAATGTTTCTCTAACTGATGTCAGCTCATGATGAAATCCTCCATCAAATAGAAAAATATATTTCTTAAAAATGTTATATTGAAAACTGGGGTAGTTTACTGGAGTTCTTCACTGGAGGTAAACTTTCAGCTTTCACTTGCTACCAACAATTAAATACGAAAATTTCTATTTTATGTTTAATGTCAACACTTAAAAATATTTTTTTTACTCCCTTCTATAACCCATTTGTAGGACTTCACGTGAACATAGATAAAACAGAGGTGATGAAGATTCCTTGCCAACATCAACAGCAACAACAGACCACAATAAGCATAAATGGGAAGAACCTGAAAGAAACAACCTCCTTCACCTACCTGGGAAGCATCGTCTCAACTACAGGCGGAACTGACGAAGACATCAAAGCCAGAATCGGAAAAGCAAGACAAGCTTTCATTACTCTCAAATCTGTGTGGAGGTCAACAGCAATCAGCATCAAAAATAAGATCCGGATTTTCAACTCCAATGTGAAGTCAGTGCTACTATACGGATCAGAGACTTGGCGAGTCATAAAGAGCATCTCAAACAAACTTCAAACCTTCATTAACAACTGTCTCCGCTCAATACTCAAGATCAGATGGCCAGCCAGAGAAGATCAGCAACAGGGATCTCTGGGAGCGAACCAATCAGGAACCGATTGTGAAACAAATAGGCAGAAAGAAATGGAGATGGATTGGCCATACGCTGAGGAAACCATCAAGTGACATCACTAGACAAGCCCTCGAGTGGAACCCGAAAGGGAGGCGGCGAGTTGGTCGTCCAAGGGTGACTTGGAGGAGGTCATGTGAAGAGGAGATGAAAGCATGTGGGCAGACCTGGAGCAGGGTGAAAAAGTTGTCAGAAAACCGAAGTCAATGGAGGTGCGCAGCTGAAGCCCTATGTTCCTCTAGGAACTAAAGGATACAATAATAATAATAATAATAATAACCCATTTGACCATAACATCATAACAATTCAATGAGTTAAAGAAAGAGGTGGAAATTGGAACATTAAAAATATTCATTATTTATAATTGTTATAAATTGTTATAATTAGGTTCAAAGTAGTCAGGGTCATTCATCATCTTAGTCTAATGGTATAGATTTTTATGTATCATTTCATCGCCTTTTTTCTTTTCAAAAAGTTGCAATTCTATTATATGTCTGTACCACTGCCTATTTTATTGGACACACACACACACAACCGTGTATATATACATATATATGTATATATAATTAAGTCGTGGTACGGACACACAATAAACTAACATCAAAATCAGACAGAAAAATGATTGGATAATAAGAATAATCATCATTTGATAGAGAGATGGTTGTGTGTGTGTCTGTATGTCAATCCATCTATGTGTCTACATGTCTATGTGAATAGGATGGGAATTCATTGAGTTTTCGAAAAGTAATGCAGGAGAACATTTTCACATAAAAATGAGTATTATGAAAGATTTCCAACCGGGTTTAAAACTTTATTACGAAATTTTATTTGCTATAAAGTGGAATTAAAAGCACAAACATGTAATACTGGTGATGATGATGACGAAATTGGATAAAATACATTAAACTGTCTTGATTCAAGGATACCTTATCTCACTATTTGGGATCATTTTCAAATATCAAAAAAGAAAGGTTAGTTTAGTTATGAAAGCTGATTTGAATTTCCCCTTTTATATCAATTTTTCGAGTTTTATAAGTTTATTAGAAAATTAATAGGTACCAAATGTGGGACAATAAAGATAACTACAAATATATACATAAAACTACACACACTACTGATTGACTAAGATGAGTAGTTAGTTGTATAGTACTCACGCTGACCACTAGTGCTTGTGATATGGAGAAATTTCTTTTTCTAAAGGAAACTGTGGAGAAATTTCACCTCCACGAACTGTGTACATTCCAAATTCATTTACGAATTCTGAATAGGATTTATGGAATTTACAGTTCACCCAGTTAGGTAGCCAGAATTCCATATTAGTTTGTTGATTAGATGTTTCGAAAAAAAATTATTGTTCTTAATAATACCATCAATTATAATCACACAAATTCGAAACTAACATTTCATAGTTTTCTTTATTCTCTCCTATTTGTCGCCATTGGGATAGTAGAATTTTCCAGATATCTGAGTGGACAGGTGTTGAATCATTCATATTACACCTATTGACTCTCAGTTGATTCGAAAAACAAAGCTTCCGCTGTTATCAATCTCCCCCCTCCACCATGTTAGTTGTATTAGATTTTGAAACTGTCATCCTATCTCATGATCCTATTGTATGGTTGTGTGTAATTGCATATAGTGAGTGGTATAACCGAACTATTCTCTAGATTTCTTATCTTATTTGAGTCAACTAATCTAGGCTTTTTGTGCTCGGCTTGTTTGACTAACTGTCCCTGTTATACTCCTTTGAATGTTTACTGGATGACAAAGTTTCGAACACAATTTATTCATTGTTCATAATCATTTCATCAATTATAATCACACAACTTTGAAACTTGAGTTTTATAGTCTTCTTTGTTCTCTCCTATTTGTCGTCGTTGGGGTAGTAGAATTTTCCAGATATCTGGGTGGACTAGTGTTGAATCATTCCTATTACATGTATTCTCTTCAGTTGATTCGATAAAAAAAGCTTCTGTTACCAGTCTCTCCTGCAACCGTGCTGTCACATTAGATTAGATTTTGAAACTGTCATCTTATCCTATCCATCCTATTGTATGGTTGTGTGTAACTGCATGTAGTGAGTGCTATAACTGAACCATTATCTAGATTTCTTATCCTGTTCGGGTCAACTAATCTAGATTTTGCTGCTGGGGTTTTGTGCTCGGCTAGTCTGACTGCCCTTGTTCTACTACTTTGACCGCATGTATCTGGCCTGACAATCATTGCAGGCAGGGTACTAGATAAACTAAATTGTCTTGTTTAATTGGCTCCACAGGATTGATCCTTTAACCAACTAAGCTTGTTTCTAAATGAGTTTGTGCGTGTGTTTGAATGCTGGTCAGTTTTATTCCTGCTTTGTTAGGAATTCTCCGCTGTGAGGTTTCCGAGGTTCCTTCCTTGTATGGAATTACCACTGTTTATTTAGATTCTTTATTGTTGGTGATGTCATTATCTTGAGCATGTTTGACATGCATATGGTGAATAATATCAATATCATTATTATCACTATCTCTACTATCATTAAATATTCTATTTTTACATTTCCTTACATACTTTCTGACTAATTTATCCGGGTAATCATTAAGTTTCAAGGCTTCTCTTATGTGTATCACTTCCTGTCTTAGATTTTCCTTGGTACTACTTAGTTTTTGGGCTCTATCACTTAAACATTTCAGCAATCCAGTTTTCACTGACATAGGATGGGATGATCGGAAATGCAAATATCTGTTTGAATGTGTGGGCTTTTTGCAAACACTCGTATTTGACTTAGCATCTTTTTTTCCTTTTAACGCTACAATCTAACATCGGAAGTTCCCCTTCCTGTCTTTACAATTCATGAGTGAATTGAATTGCCTCCACCTGCAAGTCATCCAGTAAATAATGCTGCCTCGCTAACTGTGTGAGGCATCTAACAGACAAACTAATATAGAATTACTTGCTACCATAGTGCCCAAGTTCTACACATATATTAGTAAGCCAGAAGTCGCGTGGTTTGAACTGGTTCTATTCTCTGAGATGATTCAAACCGGGTACACCGCTGATCGGCCCGGCCCCAAACTAGCGAAGCGGCAGCCAAGTATTTAATAATAATAATAATAATAATGTTGTGGTTGATTCCAAAAGTACTACTTATAATACAGCATAGAATTCTAAGCATTTGTGACAATATTGGATCTAAATTCACTCAAAATATCAATATAAAGTAACCAAAGGCATTTGTCCACATTTACAGTAGGAATAAAGTCAAAAATGTGCAAAGTGCAAAGTGAGAATAATCACTATAATAATAAAAGTTTCAAACAGGATTGTCGACATTTAATTGAATTTTAGATTTTCCTTTATCAATTGATTGAACCGAAGTGCTCGGTCTCAGGTTGACATGTCCACCAATTAAATACTAATTAAATGCCCAGACATCGTCGAAGCATCTGTACAAGAAGCCGATATGTCAACCTGAGACCGAGCACTTCGATCCAATCAGTCAGTTGACGGGAAAATCTAAAATTCAATTAAATAATTAACATGACCCGTTGTACAAGAGGTGGCTGTCTGTCGTTGCTCAAGTGGTCTAATGGATTACGCTTTGGCGTTAGAAACTATGGGTATTGGTTTTCAGCCTCGGTGTGAACATCATCACTCATTACCTGAGAAATGCAGGTACATCCAGCTGGTGGACGAGTCCCTAGATTCCACTGCTAGTCACTATCCACCAATTACGTATTGTCCACACACTATGAAAATTTTACCATGTTACAGACTACTGAATCTAATGTTCACTTGATTTGGCGTGGTGAAGGGAAAAAACAAAAAATAAAAACTAATTACACAGCTTAAATAGTATTTACACTTATGAGGAAAGAAACAAAATGAGGGGATTATAAATGTAGGAAGAATAATAACAGTAAAGCTTGATGGTATAAGGATGGAGAAAATGGTTTATTTACTAGTAGAAAGAAGGTTAGTTAGTTAATTTATGCCTATTACTATTTTCATCACACAAAGTACGTGCCGTCAAACATGATATCGTGGAATTTTTGTAATGAGAAACGCACGCATAAAGTCTTTTGAAATGACTTCTTGTTTTACCTAAGGAGGAGACACAAATTGAAAACTGTGGGAAAAGTGGATGGACACAGTCTGACAAAATCCCTATAGCAAATTTGTTGCATGACATCAAGTACCTATCAGTAAAAATCTCAACGATATGGCCCTATGGGATACCACCACTCGCCCGACTGACAGTCAGTTTTCAGAGTTCTACGAAATATGACAGTCTTATTTAAGCAATCCAGAAAAGAATAAACAAGGGTGAACAGTAAAGAAGAATAGGTGAGATGCACGAGTTGACAAACTGTAAGAGGTCAAGTGGTTGGGTTATGCCTGAACGCCTTCACTTCTTAACGTAAAAAGTCAGACGAAATATTCTTTTGGAAATCGCTGAGACATGGGAAGCCCAGGATAGGTCAGAAGAAGGAATTAATGCAAGATAATTAACTTCAGACTTGATTTTGTATATCAGTATCAGCAATTTCACAACGATCATAGGAATTAACAGCTTCATTTAACTTTCTTTTTGGAAGCATCTTTGGGAAGCATCGTCTCAACTACAGGCGGAACTGACGAGGATATTAAAGCCAGAATCGGGAAAGCAAGACAAGCTTTCATTACTCTCAAATCTATGTGGAGGTCAACAGCACTACTCAGCATGATAAATAAGATCCGGATTTTCAACTCCAATGTGAGGTTAGTCAGTGCTACTATGCGGATCAGAGACTTGGCGAGTCAAACAAACTTCAGACCTTCATTAACAGTTGTCTTCGCTCAATACTCAAGATCAGATGGCCAGCCAGAGAAGATCAGCAATAGGGATCTCTGGCAATGAGCGAACCAACCCAGCAGGAACCGATAGTGACACAAATAGGAAGGAAGAAATGGAGATGGATTAGCCATACGCTGAGGAAACCATCAATTGACATCACTAGACAAGCCATTGCTCGAGTGGAACCCGAAAGGGAGGCGGCGAGTTGGTCGTCTCACAGTGGGGTGACTTGGAGGAGGTCATGCGAGGAGGAGATGAAAGCATGTGGACAGACCTGGAGCAGGGTGAAAAAGTTGTCAGAAAACCGAAGGCAATGGAGGTGCGCAGCTGAAGCCCTATGTTCCTCTAGGAACTAAAGGATACAATAATAATAATAATTTAACTTTCTTTTACATCGAAAACTGAAATTGACAGTCTGACATTTTAAAGGATTTAATTTAAGACCATTTGACGAAGACTATTTGCTGAAGACTCCAAATAGAAAGCTGTGTATCTTTGTACAATCTAGCTGGGAGTTAACGGAGATTCAGATGGTTAAATCATCCTCATACTTACTAAAGTTCATTTCGTCATCATAGTGAGGCAAGTCATGCAAGAATAAAGAAAAAAGAAAAGGAGAGAGGACAGCGCCTTGAGGGGCACCAGCCTCAGTAAGCAATGAAGTGGACGACTTCCCGTCCCGTATTTTGGAACGTGGCAACTCGAACTGCTGCACTTCTGTGCCAAGTTCTATGTTGAATCTAGACAGACAGATAGACAGACTTCCCGTAACATACAATGTACTGCTTTCTTCCTGAGAAATAAGAATGCAACCGTTTGACATCCTAACACTCATTCTGAGTTTCAGCGGTCTTATTTGACAAACTATCCGTAGGTACTGAGTTGAAAGCACATGTGTGGTCTAGGAAGGTGCAGCGAACAAATTTAGCCCCTTCGTCTAAACTGAAGACAAAGTTATGATGCAAGACTGAAGCTGTATCTATAGTACTTCTACTGCGTTTATAGGCGAATTGTTTGGGATCGTTAAAGGCTTTATATGAAGGTTGAAGATTAAGTACGAGCAACTCTTCCATAGTTTTTAGAAAAGGAGAGGTAATAGCAATAGGTCTAAATTTAATACATGTTCCAGTAGACGATTAAGGTATAGGTACA